ATTGTCCTCCGCGAAGAGGAATTTATTCCCGGCGGTGTGTGTGTGTGGCTGTGCGGGAGACGGCGCACATGCCCCGCAGTGAAGCCGCGCGCCCCTCACAACGCCGCAAAGGCCCACAGCCCCAACAGAAGCAGCAGCGGCACCACTCGGCGCCCACGCACAGCGCCGTCCTCGGCGTTGCGCTTCTGCAGCAGGCCCCCACCGCCCCCGCCGCTGTTGCTGCTGTTGCTGCGGGTCGCAGGGACAGATGCCGCATCCTTTGCCGCCGCGGCGTCTGCAGCGGCACCGCCCCGATCTGCACTCTGGGCCTCCCGCTGCGAGGGTACGTGTCCCGTTGCCAGTGCGTTGCCGGGAGTAGGCGAGGACGCGGCTTGCGGCCCACGCTGCGGCACAGGCGAAGTGGCGTCCACATCGCTCTTGGGAACGTCTTCGCTTGTAGCAGGACCCTCCGACTTCAGTGGCGTTGGTTCTTCCGGCGCCGAACTGGGGACGGTTTTCTTGTGAAGGGCGCCAATCTCATCCGCACCCAGCGGGCGGTTGTACAGCAGGACGTTCGTCACCGTCACACGGCCACCTTCACTCGCTGGCTCTGCTGCGCCGCCGCCGTCCCCGCCAATGTAGAAGTGCGAGATGACGCCTGTCTGCGTTTCGCACCGCTGCTCCGGCTGCCAGCCTCCCACACGCAAGCCGTCAATGTACACGGAGCCCTGGCCGCCGCCCTGGCGCATGATGGCCACGTTGTAGCTTTTCTTTGGCTCCCACGTGCTGGTGTCTGGGCCGCCCGCCCCGTCCCCGCACAGCACACGCCACTTCTTGTCGCTCGTGTACGACAGACCGAAGGCTGCGGCGCCGCCCCCATTTGCATCCATCTTTGTCCCCAACAGAGGCAGAGGGCTGTCCCCCTTCTCCGGCGCCGCGTGGATCGTCACCGTCGCCGCGAGGGTGAAGTTGTAGTTTGCAAAGTGGTAGGGCTGCACCCGCCCCCCGTTGCCCACGGGCCACTCCGCCCACGAGCCACGGCCTTTGAACGTCACGCCCCCCTCCGTGCCTGCCGCCTCAGCACCACCTTTCACAGTCGCGTTCACGCCGAGGTACTCGTCCACCCACGCAGTCCCAGTGACGGTGCCAGCCAAATGCCCAACCAGCCCGGCCGTGGGCACCCGAGCGCCGCACGCCCCGCCACTCGCAGCAGCCGCCGAGGAAGGGCACAGCTCCCCGACACGTGCGTCCACCGTTTTCCATGTTTCCACCACCTCCTTTACTCGCCCCAGCTGCGACGTGAGTTGCACCGCAAAAAGCCCGGCTGCTTGCGCTTTGCCACTCTTCCGCTTCTCGTACACTGAAATCAACTCGGTGCCACCTTTCAGCAGCAGCGCACTGGCAGCAGCGGCGGCGGCAGAATCCTCTCCGTCGCCCGCGGTGGGTATCGGCCCAGCATCGACAACGTGGGCGGCGTCGGCGAGCCAAAGGTGGAGTTGGCCATTTCCGCCGTCCCCCGAATGCACCGGCAGGGTGACGAGCAGCACCCTCCTGCCCTCACCACTGCCCCCTATCGTCGCGGTGATGAACCCACTTGGAACGCCGGGCCCGGCGCCAGCAGGTGCGCCGCCCCACACGCGCGAGAGCGTCCCGAGCGCCTCCGTCCACGTCTCCCCTTTATTATCTGACTCGTACACTCTGCGGCGGCCGTCCTCGCACGCGGCCATCATCAAAAGTTTGTTGCCCTCCCACGCCACGACGGAGGGACTACCGCAGCCCTCCGCAGACATCCCCTTCGACAGCCGCCAAGTCCCCGTCTCAGGGTCGCTGGAGTACAAGACCAGCGACACGGTGTTTCCAGTGGTCTCCGGC